ATAAATGAATTTAAACTACTGCACTGAAAACCATATTAAAAGCTGTAACTAAATTTAGCCACCTTAAGTAAACTCTGCAGACATTTACAGGCATGCGTGGCTTATGCTGGCAGAAATCATATACTTTGTGCTAGAAATGATTTCATAATCAAGCTAATGAACATCCCAAATCTGTTTCTACTGGTAACAGAAGTATTATTGTCCTACAATATCCATCAGTAATTATTCACAACAGTATCCGTAAAGCCATCTAGGTACCTTAAATACAAATAGATTTTGTTTGGCATGTTGAAACAAACAAACAAAAAACCCTAAAGAGTAGAGAACAGTTTATATATATATATGTGTATATATATGTGTGTGTGTGTGTATATATATATATGCATATTGGATATTGGATATGCATATGCTGTATAAAGCTGTGGTTCCATATGCTATACTTTGGAAAGCTAAATTTTTTTACAGCCATGCCACAATAAATACTGTATTAAAAGGGGGGGAGAGGGGGAGGAGGGAAGGAAGGAAAAAGGCACATACTTCTTCATTTTTAAACTGCAAGTATGGGTTTCTTCCTAACCTAAATTCTGCATACTGTTTACTGCTGATGTCTGAAATGAGACTCAGATGAGTATTCCTTTGTTAGCCAGCCTCTTTCTTCCTTTAGAAGAAACATATCCATTTGTAACCAAAGCTGCATGTTATGACACATCAGTCTTGAGTAGGTGTCAGTATCTGCCATCACAGGAGTTTTAGTACTGTTTTCAACTGCTCCCCTTCCAAATGTTATTTATTACCTTTATGTTAAATTTAATAATTGAAGTCTACGAAAGCATACTTAGATAAACTGAGAACTGTCTCTAACCAAACCTTGTAGTTTTGTGAATTAAATCGTCCAAGGTGAGCAGAGAATGGAAATGAGTTTAGGCCACAAAGATGCAAAGATTTATGTATGTGCTAACCTGAATCTTTGTGAATAGTCCTGTTGATTTCAGAGGGGTTACTTACAGCCCATGAAGTTAAGCAATCTGCGTAAGTGATTGCAAAATTGAAACCTTAGATAGACTGCAATTGGATTTTGAAAAAGGCTCAGAAATTGAATACACAGCTATAAATCACATGTCCTTGAAGAGTCATAAATCAGAAAAAAAGAATGTTTGAAATACAATTATTTTTCTTAGTAGCTCATCTGTATATGGACTAATGAATAGAATAAGATTAATTTTAAATTATCACAGATCATTAAATGTAAAGTCTCTGAAGTACGTCATATAAGTCAAAAGATAAGATTCTTTGAAGGCACCCTTTTATTTACTTTCTTGTTACAACTTCAGCTATGATAAGTGAATTCCCTGCATGGCATAGTGAAAGGAAATTTATCAAATATTAAAGCCAGGTGAAGATCAAAGATATATCCTACAAATATGCCTAATAATTAGGATAGAATCAATATAAAATGAGTACATTTCATTACCAACCATATCGTGGTGGATATTTGGAGAGGACACATACCTTGTTTTAATTAGCCATCTCTTTCACTGGGTTGCTTGGCCAAAACCTCTTGATAAGGAAAAAAAAAAAAATGTAACCATTGGTCAAAATGCTTGTAACAAATCTTGTTTTAAATTGAAGCTATTTATTCAGAAACCAATCTACTACTGCTGCAGTAATCAATGTGTTTTCCCTTGGAGTAAAACTGTTTCTGTACTACTAGAGGACTATTGTTAATTGCCTGTAACTAAATGATTGCTGTGCTTCTGGATGTAACTCCCTGGCACTCGCTCATTAGTTGTGTTTAACAGAATGCCTGTCCCCCTAAGGGTTAGCCGAGTAATTTTCCTCTACTATTTTCTACATTCAGTCTTAGCTCCTTAAGGAGGGCCAGGTCTGTAATTTGAGCAATGTAACATGGAGGCTAAATAGATTTTAAAAGGTTTGCACTTTTTGTCTCTCCCCTCTGATGTGGAATTGTGCTGAAATTTAATCTTTTTGGTGTGCAGCCACTACAAGAAACTTGAATTTCAGCAGGAAAAACAGATCACACTTCAAAGGGCGTGTAATGCCTGTTGCAGTAGCTGTGCTCAAATTGCAATGCAAAAGGCAGAATAAAGCAGCAGAAAAAATTGTTATTGTAAAGGTAACCTTACAGTCTAACCTTGCTGTTACAGTCAATACTTCACTGTTGACTCTGTTGACACACACATCACCAACACCTTTGGCATTATCAGAGCACCTTCCAAGTGTAACCTCTCCTATGAAGGAGTAAGAAGCACCCCCCTAAATTCACACTGGGAAAACCGAGGCACAGAAATGTGAAATGGCTTTCACAAGAGGCCGACGGTAGAGGCAGGACTGAGCCTCCCGCTCCTCACGCCTTCAGTTCAGCTCAACACAGGGTAACGTTGTTCACAAAATCCCTGCAGCAGCTCAGAGGCAGCCAGTGCCCCCTTAGGGCATGGTTCAGCATCCCACAGAAACGCTGACCAAAGGCCTGAAAGCAATCCACTTGGTGTGGCGCTGTGTCCGGGCCAATCCGTCCCGCTGCCATCCCCGGCGCTGCCCAGATGTGGCCGTGCCACTTCCAGCACTCTGGGGGTTAGATCAGGCATTTGCAAGGCTGGGTGTAAGGATGCAGCAGTTTGTTGGGCTAATTGCTGCTCCTCTCTGCCTCTGAACCCTGATTAATAACACCCAAGACAGAGAGCAAATATGTGCAGATGGACATTGTCCAGCACAGAGGAAAATACAAGCTTGCTATGCTAGGTGGGCAGAGCATGAAACATACTTTGCAAACAAATCTGTTTAAGAACCACCTTGTCCTTGTGCTCACAGCTCAGCAGCAGCACATGAAAAGGTCATTTCTAGTATGTTTTAGGGTGGCTTAGTGGATTTTGTTGTTTTCTTTGGTTGCCTAATTTAGGACAGCTTCCTATGTGTTCATGGATGGATTTTACTGAAGTAAAAATGTAGGTATAATCTTGAATTATTTTATGGGGAAAAAGATAACTAAGAGGGACTCTCTGATGGCAAAAGTGATGCAGTGCATTAGTCTGATTTCATGAACGGTGAGAGAGAACAGATGACTACCTGCAGTTATTTTTTTCCATTTAATCTCAAAATCATTAATTTAGGAAAAACTTTTGTTTTCCAGTTGTAAAGTTTTTCCTTGCCTTTAATGAGTCATAACAGCAGGCACATAAATAGAGTATTTTGTGCCTAGCAACCTGAAATATTAAAGCCTTTCTTCTAGTTACCATTGAACAGCTGCATCACCTGTAGTACAAAATGATAAACAGGGTATAGTAAGCCAGTGCAGAGCAATTTCTATTTCCATTTATATTCTAAAATAATGTATTACTTATTTATGCAAACAATTATTTGTTGGTTGTTTTTAATAACATTTCCCTCTCTGGACCAGAAAAGTATCGAAAGTCTGAAATAACCATGTTGGTCTTAAAATATCTAACACAAAGGATTTTCCAGCACAGTTTTGGAGAGAATGACATGGAATATAAATGCCTTTTTATTTTATTTTATTACACTTTTAGTGTCTTCTAGAGAACAATGAAATCTTCTTACAGTTGCCTCAAAATAATAAAAATGGTGTGCGATTCTCAGTAGATGCAGTCAAAAATAAATGGAGTTTATTTCACTTTTTCCTCTAACCTTTTATTTCTCTAATTGAATTGTATTGTGCTGGAGTATCATATCTGCATAACCACACACACAAAATAAAGGTTAATTCAGGGCTACCCCGCTTCACTCAGACAGAAGTTGCGCACTGGAAGAGGATACTGTGAAAATCACACAGAACTGAACTTTCTGCATCACAGATTTTTAGGAAGAAAACTGTATGTCTTAGATTTACAAGATTTAATTTCTTGACATTCCTCAAAATTGAGTGATATTGAAAAAGTATGGGTGGTCTTAAGATTTGACATCTATTACTTATTTCAAATTACAAATTTGTTAGTAACAATCTTCCTCCTCCCACCCTCCTTTTTAGCATTGCCAGTTTTCTGTTAATAAACAAATGAAAATTAACAAAATGAATGCCATGTAGCTGTGTGAGCTTCCTTGAGTGTGCAACAGTTAAGACGGGGAGGTGAAAGTCCATGCTGGCATAGTGCTTATGCATTGGTAAGTGGCCCCACTGAGGGTACTACTGGCGGTAGGCAGTTGTGGCCACATTTGACCAGAGTCCCTGTCCTCAGGCACAGAGATACACGGTAATGATCTCAATCCATCACGTGAGTCTCCAGCGGTAGAGTGAAGCAAAGACACCAGGGGGTCACGGTCTGAATGGCAATGTCAGAACGGACAAATCAGCGTGGTTTGCTGTGACTACAGATAAGCCAGCCCCACTGGGGGAAAGCGCGGAATAAAGATGATCTGCAGATCTTTGGGAAACTGTGTCAAAGATATTGACGCATAACTGACACGTGAGGCAGTGAGGTTCCTTGGATAATCTGTCTTCATATCTGTCAAGTTTTTGGGGTTTTAAACAAACTTTATTTTTATTTTGGAAAAAGAATAACAAAATCCTTAGTGTAATCTTGTTCATTAGACTAAAACTCATCTTATTTGTGTGTAGAATAAGGGAGGAGCATTATAGTTCCCAAAAAAAAGAAACATCTACCGCTGCTTTCACTATAAGTAAAATCTCAACATTCACCTGTGTAAAGCAAACAGTGTTCTGTCTACAGAGATATAAGGGAGTTATCAAATATCTCTTATATATATTTGCACATACTCATACACACACACACATCTCCAGAAATTGTTATCTTTTAAATAAGCAATTCAGATGGTGCACTAGAGGAAAAACTAGCTTATTAAAGAAAAAAACCCCACCTATTAATTATTTCTTCAAGGTCCCTATAACAAAATATATAAATAGCCCATCATTCATTATTTTATTGCTTAACATAAGTGCGAGGTCTGCTGCTAATCCTTCTCTGGTTTTGAATGTGGTTGTTATCGCATTTTGTAATTCTTTGCAGAGTTGATGTACACAGTTGAGCTTGCTGGTGGTCTTGGTGCTATTCTGCTGCTGCTTGTTTGTTTAGTGACTATCTACAAGTGTTACAAGATAGAGATTATGCTCTTCTACAGGAATCATTTTGGAGCTGAAGAACTAGATGGAGGTAAGGCAGCTTCTTAGTACATTTCCTACTTTCTAAATATGCCTGTCTTATTTCTCTCCACCAAGGCCCAAATTTCATTTCAGTTCAAGATGCATTAACAACTGCAATTTTTATTTCTCACTGCATTAGGCTCTGACTTGAATATGCATTCCTCATGCAGCACATTAGCAGCAGTGATTGCTGAGCTGATGTATGTGCTGCTCTCTGGAGCTCCAGAAGGCACCCATGCCTTTTAGACTTTTATTCAGGATACTGAATGTAAATTACCAACACTGATGCATTAAAGATTTTTACTTTCTGTCAGTACTGAAAGCCAGCTTCATGTCTCCATAAACTAGGGAGTGTCTTCCCTAATTTTATTCACCAAATAGGTAGAGGTTGAAGTGAATCTCAATTTACTGCTTGTTTAAACTGATCAGTTTCAATAAACTCTACTGAGCATTTTGGAATGTACACAGCAGTTCATTTTCTTGAGTTCATTTACTTAATCACTGAGAGAGCAACTAATGGTCATTAAAGTTGTTCTGTGATTCAAGGACACCCAGCCTAAACAAAAGTAATACGCAATGTACGCACTGGATTGTGTCAAATGTATACATGCATTTTCTTTTATTCTCTTTTTAAGCACTGAAGAAAAAGGTGTCCTTTGCCTCTAGCCCTACTAATCAAAACTGCTGCTGAACGGTGAACTAAGCTGAGCTGCAGGCTCTGATTAATTAAGTTTGGTTTCTTGGGTCAGAGATCCTTATGTTTTGTGCTACCATTATGTCTTTGGTGGCAAGGCCTTCTTTTTTACTGAAATACTAATAAAAGTTATTTTACAGTTCAAAGTAATAGCCTGTGGGCAGAAGCCACTGTGACGTATTAAAATAAATACCTGTTGATGAAAAAGTGCTGGACAAATCTGTCACCAATAAGGGAGAAGAGCAGCAGGAGAATTATAGGTTCTTATATAAGGGAAAGACTGCCATAATAAGATCACTAGGGAATGACCCACTTCTGCCTCCCATCTAAAAATGCACAAGGCTTCAAAATAGAAAATGCTCAGAAAAACAAGCCCAAGAACATTAGAACATTTTGTATCCTTCTACTGGATTTACAAGAAGGATGAATTAATATAGCAGCTCAGTGGGGGAAAAAATCAGGTTATTCTACTTATTTTAGAGTAGGAAACTGAGGCCCAAAGGGACTGTGACTCATGGACAATCTTGGCAGACGCTTTTTTTTTCAGGAGCTGAGATCCTCTCTTCTCCACAAAGCAACCCCCAGTTTAAATGGGTATGCTTACTTGAATGAATTGTGTGAATTTAATAATAGCCATATTACGCAGAAATAGGAATTTTAATTAATAACTGATTAATAAATGCAATTTAATGTTTTCTCTCTCTCTGTATCAGTAATTCTTACTTTTACAGTTGTCATTTATTGTTATCTCAAATCATCCCAACTCATCTGCAAACCTACTCTTCACAGTTCCATGCTTGCCTCTCTCTCCTTCCATCTCAAACATTGGTCACCTGGGAACAACAATACTTTAATCACATATTTTAATCAAGAAGAAAGTGACCTCTAAAGGAGAGTATTCTGGGATTCAAAAGGAGGAAAACCAATAACCATTCAGTTTATCCTTCTGAGCAAAGATAATTGTTAAAGAAGATAAAGCATGGATTCTCCTTAGATGATCAGTGCAAACACTGATAGCTTGGGTGCTTAACCACAGTAATATAAGAAAAATACTACTTGCAGGTTCCTAGTGGAAACCTGTAACTTCTACTGTATTCAATATACCAGCAACATGGATAAAACCCATTGTGTCGATGAAATTACTGCAGCTGGACTTTTTATTCTGCCTCTTTCCCTCTCTCTTGCAAATGCAAGACGATAGAGAGAAAAACGTCCCACAGAACACCAAGCCATGGCTTGTGCATAAATAAATTGCAGGAATATATTCAGATTCTTTCCTTTGCTTTAGTTTGGTATTGACAGACACAAAATGCTGAACTCTAAAATCATCTTCTAACTGCATCTCCTGCGGTGCAATAGCAGAGCGCCCACATGCTATTCATAATTTACAGCATGTTCTGTCATATTTCAGGACAGCATGTAGATAAGCAAACATCAAAATATCACAGGTTTTTTTTGTGTGCACTATATTGTACCCAAAGAGGATTTGAAACACTTTAAATTGAGGTCCAATTAAAATTTTCAGTTGAAAATCTCTTTTAAAATGCAACACTTCTTTTCTTGCCTGTCTGGATGTCAGACCTCATCACAATTCTTCTTTCCTTTCTAAGCCTTAGACACATCAGTTTTTCTCAGGCTAACACGCATTTCTGTGGGAGGCATGGGTAAATTTCAAGAAATATCTGAAAACAAAGTATTTAACCCTTACAGCTAATGTAACTTAATTTATTACTTTCTGCAGGGGTACTGCAGATTAAGCAAGTGATCACAGCTGATGATTCCTCATTTCTCTAACGTGCAATTTTGAATTTCCGATACTCTCTCTCATACTAGGAATTAGACTCTCCTGTTTTTTTCTCTCTCCTGAAAACACTTCAGCTCAGTCTCACCTTTATTGTCTCCTAGGAATGGACACTGAAGTCCGTTTTTTGTTTTCATGGTTAATTCCCTGCCTTTCCTACTAAATTGGAATATCATAAAATCAAACTCACATTTTACCACTTTTCTTCCCAATCTGTGCCTGTGCTTTCCAGTCACCTGGGAGTGGCTGCCACACCAGAAGACTGCATGATGGACACCGTGTTGTGTCCTTTGGTGTGGAGCAACGTGACATGCCAGTGTTTAGTCAGGGGACGGCACTGTCAATGTCTGACTGATCCCCCTGGGAGCTGGAGCACAGGGACAAAAAAAACACTCTGACCTTTGGCAAAGCAGTAGCTTTCTCCGCTGCAGGTGATTGGCCTGACCTTCTATTTCAGAGATATAACTCACCCCTACCAGCTTGGTGGTCAGAAACTCTCAAATCTGTTTGGAGAATTTCAGTTCAAGATCTCTCCACATACACAACGAAAATGGTATCTTGAAGTGATGTTCAAACAGTTAAATGTCCAGTATTATTCTGAAAACAACAAAATTTTCAGAAATAAATACTTTACTGGAAACTTCTGAGGATTGATCATTGTTAAATGTCAGGCAACCTTTTTAGGTTTGCAGCTTTAAACTTAAAAGGTTGTTTTAAAAAGCCTTGTCCATAAAGTGCACTTTAAGGACTAACACATTATTAGTGAAAGCCACTTCAGAAGTGATGTTTTCTTTTATGTTGCCGTACACTGAGCTCCAACACAAGAAATTTTATACCACATTCATCCTCTGAGGAGTGTTTTAGCAGTTACTGTGTATGTATTTTTATTTTCCAAGGATCTTCTCTTGCTGCATTTCCCAGTTTTTAAATGACTTGATGAAAAAACTAAATACCGTACTTTAAGAGAGAAGAGTAAAAATGCAAGTAAACATTTACAAGTACCTGCAATCAGTACATGCCTCAACTTCTTTTAACCTTGCACTCTGTGACCTTAAAAGGCCATTTGTGCCAGAAGAGATATTATTGCTGTATAGAAATCTGCTCTTTACCTACATATGAGCTAGCTTCCAGGTCCCCTAAAATCTTTGCAGATTTTCCCAAGATTTTACCTGGGCCAACTTTCTCCTTTGTGAGACTGCTCCTACTCATCAAACCGTGAAAGGATCAGTTCCCAAGCATGACAGCCACAGCAGACACAGCAAGAGTGGAAAAGAGAGTCAGACCACTTCTCAAAGCAGCACCATTTATGATGCTGCCTTAAGGTGAACAGGAGGCTCAAAGTCACTAAAACAGCTATTTTCAAGTTTTTCTTGCCAATTCAAGATCTGAGAGTTTCCAGAGGATGTGCAGATATCTGTATGCCAGATTTAACAGGCTAAAAACCATTGGACATGGTCAGATAGGCAAAATTACTCAAAAATCATGAATTTATATATGTATTTACATTCCAGTTTTAGAAGAAAGAGCATATGGTACAGTTAGCAGTAGAAACAGTCTGCAGGCACCAGCCCCTGCCATTACCTGGGTATATTAGTAACCATTTAAATTGGTGGAAGTTTTCATTTGAAGGAATTAATAAGCAATGGGTGAACACTATCATAAAAAAAGAAGACATTCTACATGAAAAGGCTGGAATTAAAAATTATAAGAATAAAAAAGTAGCAATTGAAGAGGAAGTCTGAACAAATGTGCTGTAAATAGTTTTCTAATTAAATTTACATAAATATCCTTTCTCACAACTAGGCTGACGAGAAGTCAAGTTTTAGACTCTACAGTAAAAAAGTACCTGTAGGCAGCTGATAACTGGAAAGCAAGAGCTTTGCTTAGCAGCTGATATGATGAGCTTCACGGTGACCCTTGGTGCCTTTAGGTCCCATCAGCTGTTTCTACACTGTTGGACAAAAGCTCTTATTCTCAGCTTTCCTTGCCAAGGAACCCTTGGTGAATTGATGGAAAACCCAGGCTCTGTGCAACTGGCATTCAGACAGGGAAGGCACCTGGGAGCCAGGGCTGGGGACTTCCCCTAGATTTCACTTTCAGTTCTGCATGTTGCCGCTTCCCTCTCCCTACTGAAATAAAACAAAGTGCTCCTAGTGTGATTAAAATGTGTCACTGCTGAGCTCTCTAAATTCAGGAAATCTTGTTTTAATTTAATACATTACATCTATAGTGGCTGTTTCTTGGATGTGCTGGTTGTACTTTCTTAAGAGATGAGTTTCTACTGCTTGCTGAGGGGAAGCAAATCAATGCTCAGATTAGGAGACAGATGAAACAGTTTCTGCCTTGAAGTCTCTGTTGCACCTGGGAGCCCTTAGACAATCATGATTTTTGTCCTTCCTATTATTTAGCTGCAAAAGACTAGCAGGGTTCATGAACAGACCTATGGGATTGATCCAGATAATATCTTATTACCTATACAAGACAAGAGCAGGTAAGATATACTTCTTGGTGGTTT